CCTCAAGAACAAACCCTCAATGCCTCCCAAAGTTGAAGTATGGTGTAATAGTGTGTGTTTTAGTGCAATACTATGAACTAAACACACTTTTTGGCTATAGAACACACACAAAATGAAGAGAGAGGGGGAGATATAGAGAGAGATGATGATATATCAGATATATGTATGTATTAGGTCTGGATTTTCTAAACCAAAACAAAGGAGAGAGGAGGGGCTCTTATATAGACCAAGGGAAAGGCTAAGCTTCCAAGAGAAGCTATCCTAAAGTGTCAAGGCTTCTAAGGGAACCTAAGCAAAGGGTGCAAGGCTTCCTTAGGAAGCTGGGACAGGTGTGCAAGCTTCTTGAGGAAGCTAAGACAAAGGTCCAAGCTTCCTCAAGAAGCTAGACCAAAAAGATGCAAAAGGGGCAAAACAGCCACACTCGTGCATGGACGGCCAGGTTTGTGCACTCCAGCTGGCACAGCTGGCATGTGTTATTCCTGAAAAAAGGGAAAAAGTGATACCGGCCAGAAAATGAGACCACCGGCCAAATAAAGTGCCGGTCGACCACTCATATCGCCGACCGGCCAATGGACTATTTCACCAATGGCCGGTATCAAGAAGACACGGCCGGTGGCCTCAAACCACGGCCGGTGGGTCTCAGGGGGGGCCTAACAAGCCACTCCCTGCCTCAGAAACAAAAACACAAGTGTTTGGTGCAAAACCAACCACAGAACAGTCGAGTTGAGATATCCTAAAGCAAGGCGCGTAGTCGAGACCTCCGGGAACTCAAAACAAACACGAGCATGGATGATCACCGAGTGTTCAAACGGTAAAGTCCAAGTCTTTAGGACGGTCAAAAATGGGGTGTCTACAGGGGGGTTGTTGAAAATAATGATTTTTTGGCAACTTTAATTTAAAATTAAAGTGGGACTCAACCGTCGATTGATGTAGGTGTGATTAGTTTTGTATTCTTTTAAGTGAGAAGATTGCAATACAAAAATAATGAGTTAAAACCATTGAGTTATGAATGAGAATTGTCTCGTAAAGTGGACATCAATAAAGTTGGGCTTAGATTTAGACTTAATCTTGGTTTGGACTGGGTCTAGGCTTGTGCTTGTGCTTCTGCATGTACTAGGTTTGGTCTTGGACTTGGACTTAATCTTGAGCTTGGGATAAATTGTGTCGTGTTGGGCTTAGTTTGTGCATATTTTTATAAATGGGCTTGGATTGGATTATGACCCATCATTAGTATCCATTTTGTAACCCATCTAGTTGGTTTATTCATACATCATTATATACATATTTATTTGTATATATTAAACATATAAGAAATGTAAATTTTTGTAACTCTCATCTTTTAATGATGGAGTTGATGACTATATTAGTGGCCATAAGTTTTCAACCTTTGTAACTCTAGCCCTAATGGCTAGAGTTGATGGCATTTGATGGCCCTATTGATGTATAACTTTCATGGCTAGGGATTCCCCTACTTGTATAACTAGAGGCATTTCCCCTCCAACTTAGGAGAATAATTTTTTAGAGAGATGTTTGATGGAAAATGGAGATGGTGTTTTGAGATAAAAAGTTAGAGATTTTTTTTTTTTTTTACCAAAGAAATTTTTTTCTATCTTCTTTTGCTAGCCCCTTCTTTGGTTTTTGTTAGAGAGAGTGCAACTATTGTCAAATTCGTCAAAACTATTCAGAAGGTGCTTCTGCATTAGTTGATTTCGACCATCGTATCCTGGGAGACAGATATCGACATATCTTCAATATCCATCGGAAGACGATTAATCTGTTTTAAGGAAACTGTGGTATCACACAGGTTTCGGTTTGCATCTTTTATATTTTGTTCTTCAAACTTTTAGATTCGAATTATTTATTGCATATTATTTTATATATTCGTGGGAATCCATCTTCTAATATATTCTATGATGTAATCTAATTTATTTATGTATTTTTAGTTATGCAGTTTATTCTGTATTTTATTCTTTAATAAATAAATTAATAAATTGTTTTGTCATTTCTACTTATTTTATTTTATATATTTCTCTTATATTATTATGAAAAAATACCAACAATCTTAAAATAGATTCATTTAAATAGGTTTTGATAAAACAATTTAGTTTTATTATAGTTTTATTCTAGTGTCTCTTTTCCTTCTAGCTGACCCCAATATTGACTAGCATCAGCACTTAGTTGGCTTTTCTTAGTATATGTTGGATGGTGTAGTTGCATTTTTTGAACATAAAGTTTGCATCCTTTATCGGATCTCTGTAGGGAGAGGTTCTTTTAGTTCCATCTCTGATAAGCTTCATTATTATCTGTGAGTCAGCTTCCATCTCGATGTTGGCGAGCTCTTTTTGCATTATGATAGTGTAACAACCCCGACTTGTGATTAGTTTATAATCCTTGATTAAGAATGCTTAACAAGTAATTAAGATGAAATCCTAAGTTAAGTGCATGTGTCATGTGTTGTTTGTATTTATATCTGTCTATTGTAGGAATATCTGTTGGTAATTCTGCTTGAATTTGTGAATTGAAGGCCTTATCGACATCCGAACATGAAATTGATGGTGTTTATATGTTATATGGAATTTTTAGAACCTTATGGTAAGTTTAATTAAAATTCGATTTGGAATCAAATAATTGGAATAAAAAATATGACTAATTAAGGTTAATTAAGCATACTTAAGCCAAGCCTACATAAGGCTTATTTGATTCAAGACTCTTATTACAACCACACTCATCTTCCTTGACCTCAAAAACATGAGAGAGAGAGAGAGAGAGAGAGAGAGAGAGAGAGAATTAGAGTGAGAGCAACAATTTGTAGGAGATTGGAGATTTGGCATGGAATTAAGCTAGAGATCTGAAAAATTAGGAAGAACAACTTAGAATTCTTGCTAATCCAAGAGTTTAGGTGAGCAATCAACTCCTACCTTCTATGTTTCACTCATCAATTATGAGATTCAAGAAGTTTGAGGGATTCAGCAAGAGAATTAAGCTAAGGAAGAAGGAAAAAAGAGCATATCATGCATGCATGCTCATTTCATAATGATTTGAGTTTATTTCCAAGACATCTCCTCATGCATGTCATTGTTCTAACTTAGGTTTTGGGCATTTAACAAGTTCTACATCATTTTACCTCAACTGATCATGTTTTGGAAGAAAAGAACTTATATCAATTCAGGCATGTCCTATATATTGCATTTCAAGTTAAGTTTGGAATAATTGACTTGTTTTGGGGCTTTGATTTTGCAAAACGGCTTTCCATTTATGAAGTTCTATGATTTTCTACATGTTTTCTTAAGTTGTGGCCCAAAAGAATGTGTTTTGATGCATTAGATTTGTGTTTTGAACCTAGAAAGCAAATTTGAAAATTCCAGAATTTGGTTGCATCGCTCCAGTGACCAAAGCTTCACTCGAGCATAAAATTCGAGCTCCCAGTAGTTTTACAAACAATTGCACGGTGGCTCGAGCAATCGATTGTGCGCTCGAGTGAACATCTTTTTTCTCAGTACTTGACTCGAGTGACTGTCGAGCAACCGCCGAGCATAAAAATCAAGCATCCAATACTTTTACAGACTTTGCAGACTGCTCAAGTGACCAAAGCTTCGCTCGAGCGAACTACCCTGTTTTAATAAATTTGGCTAAGTGTTCCAAAGTACAGTTTTGCATCCTAGGCATTTTTAGGCCATAATTAAGCTACAATAATAAGAATAAGAGTTAGAAACACACGCTAAGAAAGAAGAATGATAAGTTAAACACCTTGGAGACGTGTGTTCAATGTGTATTTGTCATGTGTTTGTGTGTAGGTCACGTGCCTTTATCCGATCGATCTGTTTAAGTTATCTGTTCAACTTCTGGAGCAATCTATGATAACAACTCTATAAAGTTATATTTGATTATACGTATTTTCTGACTGAAATGATATAATCTGTTTTCTGAAATGCTATTTGTGAATTATAAATGAATGTCTAATTTTTTGTAACGTAATGTGGCATCCTCACATGGCCTTTGCCTAGGGGTAACAATACCGCAGTCTATGTTCATGTGGCCCTCGCCTATGGGTAACAATACCATGGCTATATGCGAACAGAGGTCTCTAATGATTTCAATCTTTGGAAGTAACCGTTGATCTGTATGGTTATCGGTATCGACTATGGTCTTAATGATCACCTACTCTGCACTTGGGTCTTTTAACCAATTTGATCTGTTAGCTACTGGATATACCACGTATGACTGTTTATGAAATCTGTATAAGCATATGAATCTGAATCTGTTTTTTATTTGAAATCTGATTTTTGAATCTAATGGGACATCATTCATAAACCCTTTACCTTATTGTTATTCACTCGGCTCCAGCTCACTATATTATTTACGTATGTAGGTGACCATGTATGGGACCGGGCTTAAGATGTTGCTTGGAGTTTTGTCTTGTCAAGCCAACTAATGTGCCTCCCGAGGAGGTTTCCAAGTGGTTTAAGTGATTGAGTATTGTGTATGTGACGTTTGTTTTTTATATTACCTTTTCTCCTGCTTGGACAAGACTTTTGTTTATTTATATGTAAGGGTGACATAAGATAGTGATATGTATATATCACTTCACTATTTATATGTGAATATAAGTTCAATTTTTCTATCCCATATATGTCTACACAGCTCTATAGACATTGTATTTTATATATTTGCTTCCGCTAGCCCCTTATTTTGTTAATCTGTTTTAGAGGCTTTCGGTAATCTTAGAATTAGTGGCTGATAACGATGCCAAATCTATAGAGGCAAGTTTGGGTCATGACAGAGTGGTATCAGAACACGAGTTATATCGCACACAAGAGTCCATATGAGCTATAAGATATGCTAGAGAAGAAGTAAGGATATTACATCAGCATGCGTGAGTGTATGCATGTGAATTTAAAATATGAACATATGAATTTGGAATGTAATGACCTAAAATTGAATATTATGAAACTGTAAAGATTATTTGCCTATGTTTATTAGTGCTTTGTTTACCTATACCAATGGAAAGAACAAGAAGTGATGATGTGACAGAATCTACTGATGCTTGGATGGACCGTATGGAAAGAATGTTAGAAGCTTTAACAAAATCAATGAGACAACAACAAAGACAACAACCTTTGCCTCCTCCGCCTTCTTCGGTGCATTTTGAACCGATGAACAACGATATTATCTCCTTGACTCAGAAGTTTAATAAGATGAAGCTACCAACCTTTTTGGGAAAAATTGAACCATTGAAAGCTGAGAAGTGGATGTTAGAAATTGAGAAATTATTTGAAGTGTTCCCGTGTTCTGAGACTCAAAAAGTATTGTTGGCCACCTATACTCTGAAGGAGGAAACTAGACGTTGGTGGATGTTTATCCACAATGACAATGGATCTATGGCTTGGAGCCAATTTAAGGAAATATTCTACGAAAAGTACTTCCCTCAGTGCTTTAACGACCGAAAGGTATCCAATTTTGAACAATTGAAGTAAGGAAATAAGTCTGTGGCTGAATATGAAGCCAAATTTACTAAATTTGCTCGGTTTGGTCCACACATAGTAGATTCAGACTGCAAAAAGGCTCGGAAGTTTGAAAGTGGGCATAATCTGGATGTGTTTGATCACGTAGGTGTTTTAAAGCTAACTAAATACGTGGATGTGTTTGATAGAGCTCCTATGACCGAGGCCAATCTAGCAGCAATGAAACAAACCAAAGCTCTAACAACTGAATGGAGAAACAAAAGATCCGGATTCAATTTCAGAAAGGATTGTTCATTTTCAATGAATAAGAAACAGAATACGGGTTTAACTAGTAGTTCAAGTCAAGGATGTGGTTCAGTACCTGCTTGTTCAGAATGTGGAAGGAAATACAAGGGTGTCTGTTGTCGAGTCTCGGGTGCTTGTTTTCAGTATGGCAAAATTGGCTACATGGTAAAAGATTGCCCACTCATAACTGAAAATACCAATCGTCTTGCAGTAAGTTCAGTCAGATCTGCTCCTGTATCGAGATCAAATGTGAGAACCAATACTGGGAAAGAAACTCTAAGGCAAGGTCGAGTTTTTGAACTTGTGCCGGGAGACATCCAAAACACTGAATTTGTGGTGTCAGGTATACTCCATATTTGTGTTCAGAATGCATATGTGTTGATAGATTCTGGTTCTACGCATTCATTTGTGTCACGTGCTTTTTCTTAGATATTGACTAGACCTCTAGAGCCTATGAATTACTTGTTATCTATATCTACACCATCTGGGGGTTCTATGTTGTGTGCATATGTATATCATGTGTGTGACATTAGGATTGGTGATGTATCATTATATGTTGACTTGATGCCTGTGACTATTGATCATTTTGATGGCATTTTTGGGTATGGATTGGTTAACCAAGTTTCATGCTACTATTGATTATGTTTCTAAATCTGTTGTGTTTCGACCACCGGGATTGCTTGAGTTTGTGTTTTATGGAAATGGAGTAATCCCTCATTCGTACTTGATTTTTGCTATGAAAGCCATCAAATTGCTTTGAAAAGGATGTAGGGGTTATCTATGATGTGTCTTGAATGTGACTACTGATGGTCCTAATGTAGAAACTATTCCTATAGTTTGTGAATTTTCCGATGTATTCGCAAATGAATTACCCAAAGATCTGGTTGATAGGGAAATTGAATTTACCATTGAGGTACTATCTGGAACACAACCTATTTCCAAAACCCCATACAAAATGTCAACATCTGAACTGAAAGAATTGAAAGTCCAACTTCACGAACTATTAGACAAAAAGTTTATTTGATCGAGCACTTTACCTTGGGGTGCTCTAGTGTTGTTGTTTGTTAAGAAGAAATATGTGTCTTTGAGGTTATGCATTGATTATCAGGAATTGAACAAAGTAACCATCAAAAATAAATATCCACTAGCCCGAATAGATGATTTGTTTGACCAACTTCAAGGAGCCCAAGTGTTTTCAAAGATAGACCTTAGATCTGGGTATCATCAATTAAAGGTTAAAGCAGAAGACATAGAGAAAACTACATTTCGAACTAGATATGGGCACATGAGTTTTTGGTAATGCCGTTTGGGATAACTAATGCATCTGCAGTATTCATGGATCTAATGAGTAGAGTCTTTAAACCGTATCTTGATGAATTTGTTGCTGTGTTTATTGATAATACTCTGATGTACTCCAAAAGCAAGGAAGAACATGAAAATCATTTGAGAATTGTGTTACAAACTTTGAGAGAAAAAAAATTATATGCAAAATTTTCCAAATGTGAATTTTGACTTGACAATGTGGCTTTTCTGGGCCATGTAATCAACAAGGATGGCATATCAGTTGACCCACAAAAAATTGAAGCCATTGTGACCTAGCCAAGACCAACTAATGTATCAAAAGTTAGAAGTTTTCTAGGGCTTGTTGGTTATTATTGCCGATTTGTGGAAGATTTTTCCAAACTTGCTATGCCACTCACACAATTGACACAGAAAAATGCACCATTTGATTGGAATGATCAGAGGGAGTTAGCCTTTCAAGAGTTAAAGACCAGATTGATAATTGCACCAATTCTAACTTTGTCCAATGGTGCAGATGGGTTCTACATTTATAGTGATGCTTCTTATAAGGGTCTGGGGTGTGCGCTAATGCAAAATGATAAAGTGATTGCTTATGCTTCTTGGCAACTCCGCCCATGTGAAAAGAACTATCTGACTCATGACCTTAAACTTGCAGCTGTGAGTTTTGCTTTGAAAATCTAGCGTCATTATCTGTACGGAACAACTTGTGAAGTGGATACAGATCATAAAAACTTGAAATACTTCTTCACCCAGAAAGAACTAAATATGAGACAAAGAAGATGGCTCGAACTGATAAAAGACTATGACTTGCAGATTCTGTGCCATTAAGGAAAGGCCAAAACAGTAGTAGATGCTTTGAGCCAAAAATCCATCAGGAATTTGGCATGTTTTCTCACCGGTTAGAAAAAGTTGTTGTATGATCTAGAAAGGAATGGAATTGAGATTGTTTTACGTGGACATGGTGGAATCTTAGCTACTATTTCTGCACAACCTGCTATCATTGAGGAGATTAAATAAAAGCAACTACAAGATGAGTTTTTGAAGAAGATTATTGACGAGATTGATTCAAAATCAAGGCTGAGATTTGTGTATGAAAGTAATGTGTTGAAATTTCAGGATAGGCTTTGTGTACCAGATTGTTCGAAATTAAGAAAGTGTGTTATGATCGAGACTCACAACTCTAAATTTGCCATCCATTCAGGAAATACGAAGATGTATCATGATTTGAAATATAATTTCTGGTGACTTGGAATGAAAAAGTATATTGCTGACTATGTGGCTAAGTGTTTGCATTGCCAACATGCAACAAGCGAAAGCCGAACATCAGCGACCCGCTAGACTGCTTCAGCCGCTTCCAATGCTGGAATGGAAATAGGAGCATATTACGATGGATTTCATTGTTGGACTGCCTCGCTCCTCTTGAGGTGTGGACTCTATCTGGATCATTTTTTATCACTTGACTAAATCTGCTCACTTTTTGCCGATGAAAATATTTTATAATGTGGAGAAATTGGCTAACATCTATGTGAATGAAATTATGAGATTGCATGGAGTACCTGTGTCTATTGTATCTAACAAAGATTCTAAGTTCACCTTAAGATTCTGGTAGAGTTTATAGCGAGCTTTAGGAACGAAACTGAAACTAAGACTGAGTAGTGTTTATCACCCACAGACAGACGACCAATCAAAATGGACCATTCAAACTTTAGAAGATATGCTACGAATGTGCGTGTTGGACTTCCAAGGGAATTGGGAAGCTTATTTTCCATTGGCCAAATTTGTGTACAACAACAGTTATCATTCCAGTATCGGTATGGCTCTTTATAAAGCTTTGTATGGTAAAAAATGCCAATCTTCGATTTGTTAGGCCAAAGTAGGCGATAGACTATTATTGGAACCAGAACATGTGCAAGAGACGACTGAGATGATAAAGTAAAACTGATTCAACAATGTTTGAAAACTGCTTAGAGTCGTCAAAAGAGTTATGCGGATGTCCGGAGAAAGAACAGAGAATATGAAGTCGGTGACCATGTGTTCATTAAAGTAACTTTGATGAAAGGTCAGACACGGTTTGGAGTTAAAGGCAAATTGGCGCCACGGTATATTAGACCGTATAAAATCATTGAGAAAATTAATTTGGTGACTTATCAAGTGGCCTTATGCCCAGTTATGGAGAACATGCATAATGTTTTTCATGTCTCAATGCTTCGAAATTATTTGAGAGATCCATTATATATAATTGAATCGACACACGTATTTTTAAAAAATGACTACACTTATGAAGAATGACTAATTCAAATTGTCAACCGGAGAATTAAAAGATTAAGAAACAAAGAAATTCCGTTGGTGAAGGTAGATTGGCAGAATCACGGAGGGATGTATGCCACTTGGAAGACTGAAGAAGATATGATGAGACGGTATCCAGATTTGTCCCCTCTCGACCTCACATTTGAAGGTAATTTGAGTTTGAAGGACCAAACTCTTTTAAAGGGGGAAGACTGTAACAACCTCGACCTATGATTAGCTTATAATTAAGATGAAATCCTAAGTTAAGTACATGAATCATGTGTTGTTTGTGTTTATATTTGTCTGTTATAGGAATATATGTCGATAATTCTACTTGAATTTGTGAATTGAAGGTCTCATCACCATCCGAACATGAAATTGACGATGTTTATATGTTATATGGAATTTTTAGAACCCTGTGGTAAGTTTAAATAAAATTCGATTTGGAATCAAATAATTGGAATAAATTAAGGGTTCGTTTGGCATGTGGGTTGGCTTTTTGGTTATTTTAGCCTGGGGCTAAAAAGCCTCGTTTGAGATAGGTTTATTGGCTTTTTTGACTTTTATGAGAAAAAAATGAAATGATTATGGTTTGAATGTGATGTTTCGTCTTATTGAGCTAAAAAGCCTATTTTGTCTTTTTGTGGCTAAAATAGCCAAAAAGACTGGCATGCCAAACGAACGCTAAATAAGACTAATTAAGGTTAATTAAGCATACTTAAGCCAAGCCTATACAAGGCTTATTTGATTCAAGACTCTCTTATTACAACCACACTCATCTTCATTGACCTCAAAAACATGAGAGAGAGAGAGCAACAATTTGTAGGAGATTAGAGATTTAGCTTGGAATCAAGCTAGAGATTTACACAATTGGGAAGAACAACTTAGATTTCTTGCTAATCCAAGACTTTATGTGAGTCATCAACTCCTACCTTCTATGTTTCAGTCATCAATTATATAATTCAAAAAGTTTAAGGGATTAAGCAAGAGAATTAAGCTAAGGAAGAAGGAAAAAAGAGCATATCATGCATGCATGCTCATTTCATCATGAATTGAGTTTATTTTCCAATAAATCTCCTCATGCGTGTCACTGTTATAACTTGGTTTTGGGCATTCATCAACTTTTTCATCATTTTACC